TTGACTTGAATGAAGTACCCATCCCTTTAAAAAATAGTCTAAGTAGAATTTTACAATATTAGTATTTTAAATATATCTCTCAGTCCTACTCCCTTTCTCTAGTATCTTTACTCCCTAAAACAATGGAATGTGGTAAGAAAGCATCTCAGTCTTGGTAACCTGTGTTCCTTTTGAGAAACTAATATTTTTCTCTGAGGTTCTTACTTTCAGCTCTTAATGGCACTATGAACAACACAGCAGTCAGTGGTGGAACTAAACATCACCTGGAGCAGCCAGTTTTTGACCCTCTTTACCTCCATTAATTGGAATTTAGCTTTCCTACTCTCTCTTTCCTTTCCGCATTTTTGTGATGCTCAAACCCAAAGAATACCCTAATCAGGGTACAAATCAGCTTATACTTTTTAAAAGATATGATTTTATTTTGAAACAATTTCAAACTTCTAGAAGAGTTGAGAGAACAGCACAAAGAACTCCCATATATCTTTCACCCAGAGACCCCATTTAAATTCTGATGGTCTCTGTTTAATAGCTTTGTTCCTTCCGGCAGAAGCTCTAATCTGGGTCATGTCTCTCTAGTCTCCTTCAGTCTGGAACAGACATCAGTCTTTCCTCAACTTTCACGTTTTTAACGTTTCTGAAGACTTACAAGGAAGTCATTTTGTACAAAGTCACTTAATTTAGGTTTTGCCTCTGGTTGGGATCTGACTCCAAATGACCTGTGAGTGCCAAATATGTGTATCTTTTCCTAACTCCAAGGTCAGCATTATCAGTTGGTTGGTACTTGAAACTGGCCATGGTGGGATTACTTACACCATGGAAATCAGGAAACACTACAAACAAGGACTGTAGAGCTGGTTGTTTAACATTTAGCAGCATAATACTGAGTTAGTAGTGTGATGTTTCTTCATGATTAAACCCAAGTTATGCATTTTTGGCAGGAATATCAGAGAAGTGATACTTAGTTCTTATTGCATCCTATCAGATGGAAAACAAAGTAAATTTGTTCCTTTACTGCTGATATTGACGTTAATCACTTAATATAATATCTACCAGATTTCTCCATTGTATATTTACTTTTCCCTTTATAATCAACAAATCTCCTGTGTGGAGACACATGAAGATTATAAAAATAACTTCTTTCTCATCCCACCTTCACCTTCTAGTTTTAGCATCTATTTGATGATTATTGCCTGAATTATGGTGGTTGCCAAATGGTGATTTTTCTTTCTCTGTCATTTCTTCTGCATTTATTAGTTGACATTCTGCTTTAAGGATAAGCTTTCCCTTATTTATTCCTAGATTTTCATTTTATTCAATTGGTTAATGTCATTATTCATTTTGATGATCAGATTGGCCTAAATTTGGCCAGTGGAGCCCCTTTGAGCAGTTTGTCTTTTTGATATTTCCCTATCATTCCTTGATCACTTTCTTACTTTCTAGAACAACAAAATGTTTTAGGTTCAGCTTGTACTTCCTCTGTCTCAGCCCTGGAGTCATCCATTTCTTCGAGGAGGGTGGTATATAGAAAGCAAGATCTGAGTTCTAAAAGTGCTCATTGCTGTTGTGGTGTTCAAACTCCCAGACCTTCTTAGTGGGCAGAGCTGGAAAGTGCTGTGTGTGTGTGTGTGTGCGTGTATCCCTCTACTTTTATTTCTATATTTAGATGTATTATAAACCATGACTTTGCAATGATAGCTCCAATTCAAATATGGTACCTCAAAGTTCATTTTTTCTTTATATTCACATGTTCCTTCTCTATCACTGAAAAATCTGATTCCCATTGTCCTCAGTATACTTATTTATTCAGTTAGTCTCCATTTGTAGCCCATTCCCAAAACCCCATTGAGCTACACCTGACACCTTGCCCCAGAATTGTCCTTGAATGGGGTGCTGTTATTGGCTGCCACCGGTCTGCCCTGCTGCCCCACTGCAGCACTTCTCAAGCAAGAGCCCTTACTACCAGCCACTGCCAAGCTGCCTCAGTTTGTATTTTGAGCTACTTTGTAAACTCTGAGGGTGGTACTTATATTTGCTATTTTCTTTGTCCTTTCAGCTTGGTTTGCAACTTCTCTGCATTTAGTTTGTGAGAAACATCAGAAAGCTGCTATAGCTTAGTAACTTACTGTTGATGTCTCCTGAGGGTGTTCCATGTACTTTGAGGAGATAGTGGGGAAAGAAACAACCCAGAGAAGATTGGAAGTAGAGATAAAGAAGAGAGGAAGGGAGATAGCAGAAAGGTATGTGGAATGGGTTACTGCTAGTACTTCCATCCTCCCCTCCACCAAGAGTACATTCCCCTCAGAAAAATCCCAGAGGCAGCAGTTACTACTGATTCAAAGCCCTTTTCACTAGGCCTTTATCTTTTTGCCCTTTAGGGTTCTGGTTCACTCTGCAGGTTTTCAGCTATTTTTTCTACTTTGACTATAGGCCTCCAGGCCTGTGTTTTCAACTGCCTAGTGATCTTTCTAAGGATGTTCCTAGGCCCTTGAGGGCCAGCATTTCCATCTTCTAAGATAAATTTCTCCTCTTGCATATCCTGTCTGATTAATAGTTCTACCAATTTTCCAGTCTTCTTTCTTCCCATTCATCTCCTTTTCCCCCTGTTTTTCCACCCCAGTGTAATTTCTAAGAACCTTCATAGATCCCTTTCCAGCACACTGGTCTAGCTTTTCAATTCTCACATTTTTGAGATATCAAGACTGTATTTCCCTAGGTCTTTTTCTATATCCACATGTTGCGCAGTGTTTAAGGGAGAGATGTGAAGGGAACAATTAATAACTGATGATTTTATCACTTTATTCCTGAGGCAGAGAGGGTCACACATTTTTCTCTGCGTCTTTTATCTTCTGTTTTGCCCTTTCTCCTCTCTACTTTAATCCATTTTCCTCCTTCCCTCTGTAACTCTTAAGTGATCTTTGTTCGATGGTTCATTCCCTTGGTCTCTCCATCTCTTAGGGTCATATAGAAAGAAAAGGGTCAGGAGATTGGGCTTCTGAGTCTTGCAACTCTATGGAGATATGTTCTGAATGACTAGAAGGCATCAGACATCTGCGAAGCTTATGGGAAGTGTGGTCTGTACCATTTAGTAACCTTGCAGGAGAAGATCAGGAAGAAGAGAGGCCTGTTTGTATAAAACAAAAGCTTTTTAGGCTTTGGTGAGTGTGTTAAGAAATCCTATCAGCAATTTCCCCAAGAGGAGGCACTTGGAGGTAGTGTGGAGAATATAGTTACCTTCATAGCCAGAAGGTCTGTATTCTAGTGCTGGCTTTGCCTCTAACTAGTTCTGTCACCTTATATAAGTTACTTAGATTACTTAGATCTCTTTATATCTCTGATCCATTGTTTCCAAAATGAGCATTTAGAATAGGTGAGTTCTAAGGTCCTACAAAGTTCTAAAAGATTCCAATATGACTGAGTTAACTATAGTATTAAAGATATGTTTTTTGTGTGCATTTTTAAAAACTTTTGTTTTAAAAAGTTTTGAGAAATTTAAAAAATTTTTGTTTTTTGGCCTTTAAAAAAGCAATATAATTTTTTTCCTGCAAATCTGATACTCTGCAGAAAATTCAAGGGGATTTATTTAAATAAAGTTAAATGCAATTGCTTTTTAATAATACAGGTTTAATAATTTAGGCTTAATCTGCATTGAGCACATTTTAATATTGTGTGGGACTTCCACTATATTTCTGCTATTTCTTTTGGATAGCTATTCTTTCACCCTCTGTAGTCTCTGAGAGTTTCTGAAAAAGACTCCTCAAGCATTGGCCTGTTAATCAAAAAGTCTTGTTTATTATTTTACATGTTGTATTTTATGTATTGAAAATAATTAAATTCCTATAAGTGAAGAATTTCAGTGGTAGCCTTTAGGTAATTAATGGCTACATGATGCTAATATTTTTTCCAGAGTATTTCTAGTGGGTGAAAGAGGTTACTTCTTTATTTTCTTTGCGTTGTTCATGTCTACTTCTTCCATTATTTATATTTCTTTCTAATTTTTTTAAATGTTTACTTTTGAGAGAGAGAGAGAGAGAGAAAGAGAGCAGAGGGAGGGGCAGAGAGAGAGAGGGAGACACAGAATCTGAAACAGGCTCCAGGCTCTGAGCTGTCAGCACAGAGCCCGATGCGGGGCTCTAACTTGTGAACTGCAAGATCATGACCTGAGCCGAAGTCAGATGCTTAACTGACTGAGCCACCCAGGCGCCCAGAAACTTGTATTAAAAAGTTTTCCCTTTCTTCACATATTTTTATGCTACAAAAGGTCATACGGCTTCTTTGTATACTACAATGAATTTATCAGAGATATTTATTTATATATACTAATAGTAAAGTATTGGGGTAAGCAAAAGTATTAAAACCAAGATAAAACACCAGTCACCATTTAATAATTATAGAAACAGTTTTTTTGTTTTTTGTTTTTAAGTTTATTTTTTGAGAGAGAGCACATGCACTCGCAAGTTGGGGAGGGGCAGAGAGAGAAGGAGAGAGAGAATCCCAAGCAGTCTCCGTGCTGTCGGTGCAAAGCCCAACTTGGGGCTCAATCTCACAACCCTGAGATCATGACCTGAGCTGAAATCAAGAGTCGACACTTAACTAACTGAACCACCCAAGCACCCTTAGAAACAGTTTTTAAATAAAACTTTAAAATATATTATTAACTGTAATAAAAAGGGCAAAATTTTGATCATAGATTTTTCACAAAGACCAAGTGATTTTAATCAAGAATCATTTGATAAGTTAGGGCATGTCTCTTAGAATTGATATTTGTTAAGACCTCAAAACCAATCAAGTAAGCTAAATTAGGACATTGATTGACAATTATTGACTTACTTTTTATGATAGGTATTCTATTTCTAAATTATTTATTGTAAAAAATAAGATAGCCATTAAAATTCTGAAAAATAACTACCAGATTTAATTTTTAACAGAGCATAATTTCTATCAGTAACCCATGAAAATAAGCTAGGTCTACATAACATGCTTCTGCAATTTCTTCTTTTTAGATCAAAGAAAGCGAAGAATTCAATTGATAAATCAACTGAGACTGACAATGGCTATGTATCCCTTGAAGGGAAAAAAACTGTTAAAAGCAGTGAGGAGGGAATACAAAGCCATGAACCTCAGTGTGAAACTGTTGGACCAGAAGAGACAACATGGCACACAGGAACACTGAGGAACATTTCCAGCAAAGTAAGTGTGATTTTTAAAATTGTTTGTTTGTGTGATCTTTTATCAGCTGATGGAAAGTGATTTAGACATCGGAATCACCTTTGAAGTATGTATTTTTTCCAGAATTTATTCTGTAGCCTTTACAAATCACACTGATAAAGCTGAAAATAAAGTTATTTGATTAAATTTGATTGCTAGTGTAATTTGGTACCTTCTGAATTGATTGATGGCTCCAATTTTTCCAAAATGTTAAAGCACTTGGGGTTGCCTCGGTGGCTCAGTCGGTTGGGCGTCTGACTTCAGCTCAGGTCATGATCTCACAGTCCGTGAGTTCGAGCCCTGCGTTGGGCTCTGTGCTGACAGCTCAGAGCCTGGAGCCTGTTTCAGATTCTGTGTCTCCCTCTCTCTCTGCCCCTCCCCTGCTCATGTCCTGTCTCTGTCTCAAAAATAAATTAAAAAACATTAAAAAAAAATTTAAATGTTAAAGCACTTTATAATTTATAACTGATGTTTGTTAAACCTACCTTCTCTTTCCTCGTTTCTCTGTGTGTGTGAGAATTTGTTTTGAATGGAACATTTAAATTTTAGAAACTGAACTAGGAATGTGGCTTTCCATCCATGTTCTCCATAAGAAAATATTACCTGTTTTTCATTTCATTACCTTTGGTGTCAGCACATTTGTTCTGTTTTGTTTTGTTTCGTTTTGTTTTGTTTTTAATTTGAAAAAAAATTCTTATTGATGACATTTGTTAAGGATAGCAATTGTTTACTTTTCCAAAATAATAAAGAAATCCAGCATTTACTGTAACAAAGCCTATTGTAATATTATATATCTCTTTGTTTCTTTCAGTTTTTTTTGTTAAGTAATTTTTTCTTTAAAAAACTGTTACAATAAAACAGTATGGCCAAATTAAGAGATGTTTGCTTCTGTTACATATAGAATGTGAGCATGAACATTTATGTTGGTTCTTTGGGTTTGAGTGAAATATGTGTTACCACTTGACAATACATGTATTTTCAGTACCAGTAGCATACAATAAATACCATGGGGTGCAGTGAAATAGAGTCCCTTACTCTGATTTTAGATTTTGGAAGCATTTAGCTCTTTAATACTGTGAGCTTCACATCACTATCATCATTCACCAGATAAGTTTTTAGTCCTACCGCTTTCAAACACATTTTTAGCTATGTATTACCTACTAAAGTTATATGAGTTTATTGAGAAAATCAAAACTAAAGCTCTGGAGTCTCCCAGTTTCAGAATTTCCAAATTCTGGATGTCTCTTACAAATTGGTATGGACATAACGTTGTCTGTCTGATATGCACATACATACAACTGCCATTCACTTCCCCCTGCCTCATAAGCCATTATTAAACCAGTAATGGGCTTATAACTGACCGCATTTTGGGTTTGTAGAAATAGTATAATAAGTTCATCTCGGTTTTCTCAGTTCCTTTTAAAAAAATGGTCTCTGTTCTTCTTTTATCCTATTTTATATTTCTTAATTTTCGAATCTATTTCTCATCCTTTTGTGAGCAGAAATTTTATAGGACAGTATTTGACAAATAGCTGTTGAATTACTCTTAAAATTGAAATAACAGTATAGTCACTAACTTAAGACATTTTTAAAGAAAATCAGGTAATACTAATCAATCACTTTGAGGTTTTTGAAGACATATGTGTATGTATGTATAATTTAAACTCTTACAGTTTTAAAGTAACAAATTCAGTCATAAACTACCAATAAGTCTCTTCCTGTACTCTCAACGTAGGATACTCAAAGGACAATAACAAATATTTCTGATGAAGTCTCCAGTGAAGAAGGCCCTGAAACAGGATATCCATTACGCCGTCATGTGGACAGGACTTCTGAGAGCATTCTTCGAAACAGAAAATCACACCATTATAAGAAACATTACCCTAATGAGGTATATATTTTGTCCTTATGTATATGTATACATACTTACTTATATGTTACTAACTTACAGCTTCTTTTAACAATTGAATAAAATTACTGAAATAAATATATCCCATCAGTATGAATACCTTGTTATATGACCTGGGTTTATAGAGTAGCAGTTTTGGATTTGTGTATTCCACACATAGATAGATAGCTACACATTTGTTTTCATTTTGTGCATTTTCTCCAAAGACTCTCATACATTCAGTTCATTGTTTGCTTTTAAAGACAACCATCCTAGAGAGAGAATCTGTGAACGCCTGTGTTAGTCTTTTTCACAGTATGAAAGGCTTTATAGCTTCTTGATTATAGTAGAGTTATCATTCCAAATGACTTTCATGTTACTATTACTAGTTATTGAGTTTCCTATAGTATAAAATTCAATTATTTTTTCTTCTTTGATTCTTTCTTTATTAATATTTGGTTTTCTCTAAACCCTTTTCCAACTTTTTCACATCTCTTGAAACTATTTAAATAGAAAAAGAATTTCATTCAATTGTATTTTTAGTTTTTATTCTAAGGACAGAAGACTTCATTACCTGACTTCAAGGCAGTTGTCACTTGTGTCACTTTTTGATAAACATTGCCTTCTCCTCTTTTTAGACTATGTTAGAATTTTTTCCTGGATGATTTAGGGCTATACTTTTGAAAAATAATATATTATGCTTGCTGTGAGTGTGAATACCTTGATTGTTTTAAGCTTAGAAGAGTTACTTGTTTGTACATTCTTCTCTGTGGTTGTAGCTCTGTTTAATCTTGCTGGTGACTGTGGCTATGTTTCTTCTCTCAGTGGCTGCCTTTAGGCAGACACTAATGCCAGTGTGTCTGCTCACCTGGATCACCTGTTCACCTGGATCATCTGATATACTTGTGAAATTCAGTCTCGTTAATTTCTCAGTGTTACACTAGGTATCGTTAGAAGTCAGTTGGTACTAGAAGGGATTTCAGGACCTCTTACAGAAAGAGGTCTCCACTCTCTAAGAGAATAAATTATTTGGCTTTGGAGGTACTGTTTTCACCCCATAATCTTTGCTCTTCTTGATTTGCAGCTATATTTTGAACTATTGAGATTCTTGAAGGGCAGAACAATATTCTACTGATCTTAACTTTTAAATAAATATGTTGCTTAAAATCTTCCAGGTTTCAGGTTAAATAAGGCTGATAAGTAGCAAATCGGCATTGATTGTTTTCAATCTTTGTTTAATGATGTAAAAGATTACCTAAAAATAAAATCTTGTCTTCAGATTCTTTATCTGTAAAGTGAGGAGCTTTAGACTAGAACATATTTTAAAAACTGCATTTCAGGGGCACTGGGATGGCTCAGTCGGTTGAGCATCTGACTTTGGCTCAGGTCATGATCTTCCAGTTCATGAATTTGAGCTCAGCATTGGACTCTGCTGTTAGCATGGAGCCAGCTTCAGATCCTCTGTCTCCCTCTCTCTTTGCCCCTCTTCCGCTTGGGCTCAGTCTCTCTCTCTGTCTCTCTCTCTCTCTCTCTCTCAAAATTAAATAAACACTTAAAAAAATCTCTTTAAAAACTACATTTCAGTTCAAGAAAATTTTGACTCTCAAATCAACCTCACAGGGTATTTTAAAAAAGCAAAACAAGGGCGCCTGGGTGGCTCAGTTGGTTAAGCATCTGATTTTGGCTCAGGTCATGATCTCATGGCTTGTGAGTTTGAGCCCTGCATCTGGCTCTGTGCTGACAGCTCAGAGCCTGGAGCCTGCTTTGGATTCTGTGTCTCCTGCTCTCTCTGCACCTCCCCCATTTGCACTCTTTTTCTCTCTCTCTTAAAAACAAACAAACATTAAAAAAAAAAAAAAAAACCAGCAAAACGAAACCTCCTTTGAATAAGTAAAATTGAGACAGATAGCCATAGTGTTGTAATATTGTTTTACTTCTTTATGTATATATTATTCTGTTCTTTTCAAATTACTGGTGATATTTTTTTCTTTCAGGGTGAGGCACAAAGGAATCATTTTGGGAAGCACTTTGTGCTTGGGTGGAACTGGTGGTCTTCACTATAAAATGAGTGTTTAGGGATACAGCCATTTGTTATAAGGCTCTCGAATGTCAGTATCTATAGATACACTTTTTAGGGGATTTTAGTTTTTCAGGAAGAATCATCCAATCTTTGGTGGTTTGGGTGGTAGATATTATATTAGGCTGCCGTAATGTTTGGCATCAAGGAGATTGGGAATGAGGTGGTCTTGTCATTCAGTATGTAGACTTTCACTTAACCTTCTTTCCTCCCACCCCTCAACTCTCCCACCCCCACTCCTGCCCCAGTTTCTTGCCTTTTTCTACTATCCACTATGTATATCTGGTTGTCTTCTTCTAGTCTCCTGTTGGGAAGATGGTGGTAGAGTTACTTGATTATCTGGCATAGGGGATGTCCTGTGGAATTGATATCTTCTTTTAGGCATTTGCCCAGTTGCCTGCCCCATCCTGCTTTGTTTAACTCTACAAATACCTTTCAGTTTTTATTCCCTATTGAAAATTAGGTTTCAGTTTTGATGGCAGTCATAATAAAGAAACTGTGGGCTTGGACTCAGAATATTTAAGTGACTTTGGAAAAGTTATTTAACTTCTCTGAGTCTCAGTTTCTGCGTTTGTACAGTGGAGAGAGACAAGCCTCATTGGATTGTTAGGATTAAATAAGATTTGCACAATTGCCTGGCACAAAGCATTTATGTTATAAATTCTTATTCCTTTCAAATAAATATTTTTTCTCCCCTTAATTTGATTATATGCTCAGTTTTAGCTAAATGTCTAAAATGATTTAAAATGAGCAGAGCAAACCAAATTAAATGAGCTATTAACTTGAGCTGTTTTCTTCAATTCAGAAATTTCTGATTTTTAGCCCTTATTCAGCAATTTGTAGCGGAATCCAAAGTGGCCATTAATCACCTAAATATTGCAGGCAAAATTCTGTTTGGCATGTAATCCGTTATAGACCATAATTTTTAGATTTTACATTTGTAAAGTAGCCCACTTATTAATCAGTATTTGGCAAAATGCATCTGTAAAGAATTAGAGATATTTCTTATCCCTAAAATCACCCATTAGTTTCAGTTAAATAATCATCAGGGTTTTAATCCTGTTACTCATTTCTGTATCTGATTAGCAAATCTACATCAGAAATTAATGATAGATAATTAGCTAGTTTTATCAAAAAATTTAAACTAGCCATTACTGGTTTCTTAATGCATTCTGTGCCTTGCTAGCTAATGAAAACAGTTGTAATGAAAACTGCTTATGCTTCAAGTATTCTGGTTGGCATTAGTGAATCATATATTTTTGGAGTGCTTTTTATAAGACAAAGCAGACTGATTTTTACCTTTTTTCTTTCTGTATTTTTTTATTTTGATTTCTTTACTTACTTTCTTGCTCAACTCTTTCAAAACACTTTTACTTCTCCTTCAAACATATAATTCTCCCACAAATCCGTAATCAGCACACTAAATGTGTTTTCATGGTGCTCCATTCTAATATCAGTAAATTAATTATCAACAACCTGTCTCATTCATTCAAGATATTTTGTTAACTTGTGGTGAGGGTGGCAAAAAAATGGTTTCTGTCTTTCATTGACTTACAGTGTAATTGAGAGTTATGACTTATTTGAGAATATGAAGTACATGAACATTTAATAACAGACAATATTATAGATGCTGAATAGGAATGTAAAATTTATTGTCATGAAAATAAATAATAATAATACCTCACTTCAGGGACGAAGGGATCACTCTAAATAGAAGGCTCCAGGGGCGCCTGGGTGGCTCAGTCGGTTAAGCGTCCAACTTCGGCTCAGGTCATGATCACACAGTTCGTGGGTTCGAGCCCCGCATCAGGCTCTGTGCTGACAGCTCAGACCTGGAGCCTGCTTCATATTCTGTGTCTCCCTCCCTCTCTCTCTCTGACCCACCCCTGTTCATGCTCTGTCTCTCTCTGTCTCAAAAATCAATAAACGTTAAAAAAAAAAATTTTTTTTTTAAATAGAAGGCTCCAGAACTAACATTGGTGGAGCCCCTGCTTTGTACCTGGTTTGTCTTAAAAGCTACAGTGCTCATTTAATTTTCAGTGTCTCTTTAATTAAGATAGGTGGTTTTATTCCCCCTTGGTAGAAGACTAAACTAAGGGTCAGAAACAAGGTAAGCCACCTAGAAAGGGATACAGATGGCATTTTCCAGACGCTTGGTTGAGTAGGTTGTAAAGGAGAGTAGGATACAAGGTAGGAACATAATTAGAGACTAGAATGGCAAAGAACAAACAGGTTTAGGGGCTGGGGAGTAGCCCCTTGTCACTGGAGGAGAGGTTGTGGTAGGGACAAGTGGAGAACCAAAGTCCAAAGAATAGCACATTTGAAGACAATCATGCTGGTGAAGGAATTTGAACTTTATCCAGGAGAGCAGTATGAAGTCACAGAAGGACTTTGGTCAGAGGAATGGAAAAAAGCTGCACTTTTGGAAGATTAATCTGGAAAGTGGGGAAGCCCTTTCGGATAGGGGTCAGTTAGGAGCCTCTTTATAGCAAACAAAGTGTAGATGATAAAAGCTGGTGATAGCATGAGAAGGAGAAAGAGATACACATAAAACATTTTAAAGGTTAAATTGACAGTCTTAGTGACGACATAGGATAGCTAAAAATAAATGTGAAAATTTTAGCATACTTGGCTGTAAGGATTACCATTCTTTATTCAGTAAAAGTTATTTTGAATTATTTTTTAAGCTTATTTATTTTGAGAGAGAGAGAATATGAGCAGGAGAGGGGCAGAGAGAGAGGAAGAGAAAAAAATCCCAAGCAGGCTTCGTGCTGTCAGTGCAGAGCCCAATGTGGGGCTCCATCTCACAAACCATAAGGTCATGACTGGAGCCAAAACCAAGAGTCAGATGCTTAACCAACTGAGCTACTCAGGCACTCCGTTTTCAATTATTAAATCAAACTTTTACTCAGAATATTTATTTTGTACAATAACAACTCCTAGGAAAAGAAGTAAACTGATTAGAAATTATGTAACTTCTACCTTTTAGGTTTCACTTTTGTACCATAGATGACCTCAAAAACATGAGTTGGTAGTTATCTTCCTGGTATAGATTATTTACCAGTTTTACATCAGTTTCTTGAACTTCTGTTTGAAAAACAAAAACAGTAGGTACATGAGAGCCACTGTTGCTAAAAAAAAAAAAAAAAAATGAGAGTAAGAATATACTCTTAATACTCAAAATATGTTAAAGACATCAGTTAAAGTTGGTTAATATTCATTGACTATACAGTTCATATGAACTTAGGCTGGTCTCTGCTTGCCTGAATTCTGAACTTTGTATAAAAATTTAAGAGAAAACAAGCACAACCTTTGCATGCAAAATAACACTTGAGCTGAGATGTGAAATCAAATAGATTTTGATAATAAGAAAATTCTGTTACTCCTTAAACACTAATATATATCTTTAATGTTTTGCTCTCTATTTCACTGTCATCTGACAGTGTACTTGTCATTGCAACAAAAAGTAGCAAAGTATGGTTCTGATAGAATCCTTTGATTTGGAAAGGGTACATAAATTGTATTAATGTCAAAGAATATCTTGATTTCAGGATGCCCCTAAATCGGGTACTAGTTGCAGCTCTCGCTGTTCAAGTTCCAGACAGGATTCTGAGAGTACAAGGCCAGAATCTGAAACAGAAGATGTATTATGGGAAGACTTGTTACACTGTGCAGAGTGCCGGTCATCTTGTACCAGTGAGACAGATATGGAAAATCCTCAAATTAATCCAAGTGTGAAAAAAGAATATAGAGACGACCCTTTTCATCAGGTTAGTTTACAGCATTGGGTTATTTGGGGCTCTCAGTCCAGCTTTTTTGAATGTATGTACAAATTTTATAGAGGTAAAGAAAAGCTTACATTCAATTAAAGTAATATTCCTGTGATTTTTTTTTTTTTCCTTTTTATGTGAGCTGTGGTCTGGCTTCATTGGAACATAGAATCTCAGTATTTATATTATGGTTGTGTCTCTGACTTGCTACTGAGAGGTTGTTGGTAAATGGAGTTTTGTAAGTCAAATTGTGTTTTAGATGCATTAGTCCTTTTCTCCCTCAGCATACTTCATGGTCAGACCAGCACTCATGGCCTTAACTCCACCTATAAGGTTGTAATTCACAAATCTATATCTCAATACCAGATTTATATCTCCCAAGAGCCCATATAATGAGAATCACATATGTAATTTTAAATTTTCAGGTAGCCTCATTTAAAATGTTTAAAAAGGTGAAATTAATTTTAATATGTTTTACTTAGCCCAGTATATTCAAAATATTTTCACTTCAACTTACAACCAATGTGAAAAATACTAATGAAATATTTTGCTTTTTTTATACTAAGTCTTCAAAATCTATTGTAAGCCCTGACAGGCACAACTTATTTAGACTAGCCACTTCAAGTACTGAAAGCCACATGTGAATAGGGTACCATATTGGACAGCACACCTCTATAGCATATCTTCTTTTGAATGTCCCACCAGTATCTCAAATTTAACCAAACACCCCATCTTCCCTTATAAATCTGTTTTTCTTCTGGGACTCAAAATCTTAGTGAGTGACATCTCCATCCATCCACTCACCAGTCCAGAAACACGGTGGTTATTTAAAATTTTCACTCTTCCTCTTCTTTCTCTTATTTAACTTTTCATCAAATCCTAAAAATAAAACCAACAACTAAACTCTTAGAAACCTAGAGGTAGAAGGGAACTTCCTTAATCCACTAAAAGGTAGCTATCAAAGAGCTATAGCTTCTAAAAACCTATAATGATGAGATTTTAGAAGTGTTTCTATTAAAGGCAGAAACACTCAGAGACGTCCATTATCACTGCTTTTTCTATCAAAATTCCACCAGTTATGTTTGTTTGTCTGTCTGGTTGAACTTAGACTGATTTAAAGTCCACATTGAAGAGCAAAATGTCAAGAATAACTGAAGCAGTTTTGAAGAACAACAGGGAGACTTTCCCTACCAGATATAAAAACTTACTTAGAAAGTACATAGAGTAATAAAGATAGTATGCTATGGGCGTCTGCTATAGACTGAATGTTTATGCCCTCCCCCTCCCACTCACCAGTTCCTTTGGTGAAACCTAAAGCCCAAGGTGATGGTATTTGGAGATAGGGCCTTTAGGAGGTGATTAGGTTATATGGGTGGAGCCCTCATGAATATGTAGAGTGCACTATGAAAGAGACCCCAGAGAGCTCCCTTGCCCCTTCTACCATTATGAGGTTACAGCAAAAAGAGGGCAGTCTCTGAGCCAGGAAGTGGGATCTCATCAGACACCAAAACTGCCAGCACCTTGATCTTGGACTTCAAGCCTCCAGAACTGTGAGAAATAGACTTCTATTGTTTCTAAGCCATAGAAATTCCGTGGTATTTTCTTATATCAGCCCAAGCAGACCAAGGCAGTGTATAAACAAATAGACCAATGGGACAGAATAAAAAACCCTGAAGTAGTGAATGTTACATGGATCTCTAATATATGACGTAAGTGGCATTACAACCATTGGGAGAAGAATGAACTCTTCAGTATATAGTTATAGATCAAATGATTATTCATATACAAAAATATATTCCAGATAGTTCCTAAATGTGAAGAAACAAAACCTTAAAATGTTTACAAGAAAATATAGGAGAAAAATCTTTGTTACTTTTGGTAAGAGAAGAATTTTTTAAAGAAGAACACAAGAAATGCATTCAAATATCAAAATGAGGCAGTCAATAATACAAATATCCTAAAATTTAAAACTTTGGGCTACAAATTAAGCCATAAACATTGTTAAAAGATGGAGAAATAGAATTGAGGGAATGTTTTGACCCCCCCCTTCCCCCCCCCAAGATGTGAGATACTTGAGCACCTGTGTACATAGGGGAAACCCAGGAGGGAAGGACTGAAGAGATACAGGAGAAGAAGTTGTTGAATGAGATTTCTTAGGATTCTAGAGGGGAACCATAATTAGGAAGTTTTGCCTTTGATAGGAAGGGGAACACATCATCTGCTGAAATAGGAGGAGGAGTAAGTGCACAGAGAAAAATTAGTAAGATGATGAAAGGATTATTGCCTAATGTAGTGCAGGAGGCCAGGAGGTCTGTTAACAACAAGTGAGATAATAGGGTTGGTGGTGACGGCTCATAGTTATCATTTGTGAAAAGTGAAGAGAGTTTGTGCATGTATTCAAGCCAATGAACACATTAAGAGTCGCACTGCCATATTGTTGAGGGTCCAGATGGAATCTGAAACCATGAATTTGTGATTGCTCAGTCCACACAGTTGTGTGATAGTCTCTGAAATACAGTTGTGGTAATCAATAAAGCAAACATTTAAAAAGCATTCACTACATGCCAGGCACTGTGCATAGTAATCTAGAAGCATTATGTCATATAATTTTCACAACCTACAACAGTGTAGTGTATCTTTTATATATGGTTATATATTTATTTCATAGATGAGAAAATTGAGGCTCAGAATTAAATAACACACCCAAAGTCACACAATGTAGGTGCTCAGTAAATAGTTGTTATTCAAGGAACAGGAGAGACCATGAAATAATGGAAATGCTAAGAGTCCAAACAATGTTAGATATCAGAGAAGAAAATGAAACCAAGAAGGGGATAGACTGAAGGATAGGTGTGTTCAGAAGTGTTTTAGAATGAAGGTTTGTGAGACCTGGTAAGATGAGAAGTCGAGCAATTCAGTGTGTTGACAAGGCCCAGACTATGGCCATGGGAGTAGCTGAAGGTCCTTGGAATTTAAGAAGCAAAAAATAAGAAACAATCCATGAGAATAGGTTGTTGGATGAGTCACCTGGATATTCATCTAAGTCACTGGGCAGAGAGCTGGAATTGAAGTTTAGGAAAATGCCTGTGAGCTATTTTCCCAGTGACACCATCAGAGGCATAGAAACAGGGACTGTGTGTTCTTTTGCTCATAGTTGTATCACACAGTACTTGGTACTTAGTAGGTGTTTAACAAAAATTGAGTAAATGAATGAAAGGAAATACAGTTTTTTCAAAGCATTCCAAATTGTTTTTAAAGAATGCTGTACAGAATTAGTTGGCCCTAAATCTATCCCACTACTCTGCTCCTTTTTGGTACGATTTTTAATGTTCTACTCTGCATATTAATTACAGTATCACAGACTTACATTGGTTTTGCTTGCGGATTAAAGACTTGATTTTACACACATTTCTTATTCTCAGGCTTCTAAAAAATGAGCTCATATCTTCAGTTTTAATAGTAGCCATGTAATGGAAATTAGCTCCCTTTAATGAAAAGCTACCAGTTTTTTCTTATTAGACTAAGATCTGTATTGGGTTTGGAGGACCGTTTTCTGCCCACCATAAAAACTGAAAAATACCTCCTTACGAAGAAACAATGAGCATCTGAATCTGTGTGTTCTAGGCAGGATGTCACCAAATCTGTAGTTTTGTTTTATTGTTTGTTTTACTTTCTTTGGAAATAGTAACTGAAACATTTCTACAGCAGAAAACTTCTCTCCCCCTGTCGTGGCTGAGTATATAATAAAGTATGAGGCCATATTCAAGTGAAATTCATTTTGCAGTAGGTGAAGCCAGATTTTAATGGGTACAGTTCCCACAGGTAGAAACTGCAGTAAAGCGGTTGTCATGGTGAATTTACTTGAAATAAAACATGGTACCAATTAAGTGTTAATGTTTTCAGGCAGTTTTGAATGAACATGAAACAAAGCAGTTGAGATTTTGAATGAGGATCCAGATTTTAGTCTGAAAAATATACCAAGAAGAACCTATATGATAAAATTATGAAATGGAATTATTCAGTTTTCCTTGAGCCTTTCTGAAAAAGCATTTCATGTAATGCTGCTCTTCATACACTGTAGACAGCACATGTTGCAACAAGACTGTGGTTTCAGAATATATTTCACACACACAGATACAGGGTTGGGTTGGGTTTTTCTTTTTTTTTTTTTTTCCCCCAGTTAACTCTTTTTAAATTCACCAGTTTCTAGTTGCTCTCTTTCTCCTACTTGTTGGCTTTCTAGAAATAGGAAGATGATATCAAATGCTAAGTAAAGTAACTGCAAAGGTGACTGGGCAAAATGAATACTTTTGGAGGGTGAACTTTTTGAATTCCTATTTCTGTCCTAGATAGACCTTGATATGCCTTGCTTCATGTAATTGGGAAGGCTTTAATTCACTGTTAACAGACTGAGAGTTTAAAAAGATTAGAAGCCTGTAAATCAGTGGTTGAAATCTTGTCTCTCCAGGCTTTACACTCTGCATTCAGCTTCTAGCTCTTCTTCCTAGCCTTTGAGCCCATGTTGTTTCATAATGATTAAATTTCCGTGGAAAGCAAATAACTTTTATCCTAGTTAGAATATTTTGTGGAATTAAGTGGATAGTTAATAACTAGTGTCTTAACAGTTTTGAAGGCTCTCCAATAGTGAAATATATGCTATGATGGTTAGTGTATATTAAAATACCGAATACCATATCTTTGGAAAAGATAAATTTTTAGAGAAAACTTTTTCGTAGTCAAGTAAACTAAATGTAAAAGAACTTTGCTAATAATATGGCTAGTGGCATTACGGTTTGCCTGTAATTATTCATCAATTTTTATTCTGCTTATAGTAAACCTGGTATATATAGCTTTACATGCAGAAAATTAATGTTCGATTCAGAATGATAATAACTACCCATATCTGTTTTCTTACGTATTATTAATGACTATTTTATATCTTTAATCAAAACAAATCAATGCAATTTTATTCTCCCTACAGGAAAATCATTCCTTAAGTTTTAAAAAAACTTACCTTTACCATATTTTAATCACATTTCTGTCCTTCAGAGAATAACTATAACTATAGTAGATTCTTCTACTCATTGCTAGAAGTTATTTTAATGAAATATGTTATAAAAATAAGTAATACTGTAATGTAAATTCATCCCATTTTGGGTCTGATCTTTTAATGTTTTAACTTCTCATGAATATCTGATAAGGTAAAGATTAGTGTTGAATTTTGTTGCTGTCTTTAATCCCCAACCATCCTATTTTGAAGTTTTATTTATTTATTTATTTATTTACTTATTTATTTAAAGATTTTATTTAAAATTTTTTTTAATGTTTTATCTGTTTTTGAGAGAGAGGGAGACAGAGTGTGAGTGGGGGAGGGGCAGAGAGAGAGGGAGACATAGAATCTGAAGCAGGCTCCAGGCTTCAAGCTGTCAGTGCAGAGCCCAACACGGGACTCAAACCAACGAACCATGAGATCCTGACCTGAGCCGAAGTCAGACACTTAACCGACTAAGCCACCCAGGCACCCCTAAAGATTTTATTTTTAAGTAATCTCTACAGCTAATGTGGGGCTCATACTCACAACCACAATATCAAGAGGCACATCTTCTGACTGAGCCAGCCAGGCACCCCAAAGTTTTATTATTTTAATTATCTAAAACAAACAAAAAAAACAAACTTAAGCATCTGATCCTTTGTATTAAGGCTTTCAATTTTTCTTTTTTTTTTTTTTTTTTTTTTTTTTTTTTTTTTTTTTTTTTTTTTTTTTTTTTTTTTTTGCCTTTTTCTATTTCTTGAAACATTGAGAGAGTACTTTCAGTATCATGTGCTTCCATTTGCAATATATACTCAAAGGAACAAAAAAAAGTTAATCCTTTGGGGAAATGCTAGATTAAAATACAGAAAAGTAACTAAATTAAATAATGAGGGTAAGGGCATGAGGAAGAGTCTCTTCCAGGATGAGATTGTATCACTGTTTAGTCTTTCAGAGAGGTTTAAATCTTAGCTGTCATGTGCTTTGTATTGAACGACCGTAAATTGGAGAGTCAATAATATGAACAATTTGATATCCATTTGTTTTTGAACACTACTATATTAGTAGCTATGTAGACAATTGACAACTAAGGGCTTTTGCTGACACATTTTAGAGGATTTTTGAATAGTAGCTTGCCTAACACCTATTAGAGGAAGTTCTTAATGTACACATTTTTATAACTGTAATTTTTATGCCTTCTGTTCAATGTATATGCTAATTAATGTTAAGATAGAATTTTAGTGTCTTTGAAGTTGGGTGTATGTAGATACAGGTATACCCATGTTCAGACATATATATGTTCTGTTTTATAAAATATGATAAATGCATTCACCAATTTGTTTTTTAGTGTATTTTATATATATACACACGTTTTATTTATGAAATGTGATAAATGTATTCACCAATTTCTGTTTATTTTTTATAGAGTCATTTGCCCTGGCTCCATAATTCCCACCCGGGATTAGAGAAAATAAGTGCTATAGTGTGGGAAGGCAATGACTGCAAGAAAGCAGACATGTCTGTGCTTGAAATCAGTGGAATGATAATGAACAGAGTGAGTGCTTAAATATTATTCTTTTAGTTCAAGAATAAGACAGCAATTATTAATATAATAAATAATTACTAGGTTGTTATGTTTACAACTTACCTCATTTTTTCAACATGAAAAAAAAGTATTTGTATTTGGTCCTGTTTGTGATTTATACAGTGATTTGTCACCAAACCACCGTCATGCTTTAGTGTTTTCATTGTTCTGACCAAGAACAGATGATGCAATTTAAAATTTTCTTCTTTTGGGGCGCCTGGGTGCCGCAGTCGGTTAAGCGTCCGACTTCAGCCAGGTCGCGATCTCGCGGTCCGGGAGTTCGAGCCCCGCATCGGGCTCTGGGCTGATGGCTCAGAGCCTGGAGCCTGTTTCCGATTCTGTGTCTCCCTCCTCTCTCTGCCCCTCCCCCGTTCATGCTCTGTCTCTCTCTATCCCAAAAATAAATAAAAGTTGAAAAAAAAATAATAATAAAATAAAATAAAATTTTCTTCTTTTATGTTATCCTTTCTTTTGCTTTCCATGGATCAAATTGTGCTAGACATACACAAGTGTTGATGAAGGCTTATTTTCCTGTGTCCTCCCTCCTGCTTCATTTATTATTTAAAAAAATCAAAATAGAATATTTATATTGATACTTGCTTGCCCACTTAAATATATAGAAGTAAATGCAGCTAGAGGTAACAGGTCTTGAGTAGTTTCAGGAGGTAGAGTACAAATACTATGGGTTTTAATTTCAGTTATGAAATTGTGTCTTTTATGAAATCATTACTACTTTTTAAATTTTATCTGATTCCTCTTGGGCAACTAGGCATGATTTAACTTGGACTTTTTTTTAAATTTTTTAAAATGTTTATTTATTTTTGAGAGACAGAGAGACAGTGTGAGCGAGGGAGGGGCAGAGAGAGGAAACACAGAATCTGAAGCAGGCTTCAGGCTCTGAACTGTCAGCACAGAGCCAGACTCCGGGCTCAAACTCAAGAGCGTGAGATCATGACCTGAGCCGAAGTCAGAAGCTTAATCGACTGAGCCACCCAGGCACCCAAATTTTATTTACACTTCTAAATTTCCATGCATTGTTCATTATGTAAGAACTATTATGCATACTTTATGGAGGACAGAAATTAAAGTAACTGCTCTAGAAATTGATTTCCATCCTATGACATACTCCTAAGGAATCTCTGGAGATGTGGATGTAGTTGGTGCTCCATACCTTAGCTGTCTGTGAACTAGCAGGTTGTTTCCAGAATGTATAATATGATGATAGAAAGTTAGCTAGATCCCTCCCAGTCCTACCAGTCTTATATTTCCCATTATTTCATTTCCAGTTTCCTTTTTCATAATTCTCCCTTTTTCTCCTTTTTTATTTAATTTTCCCCCCTCTAACACATTTTCTTTTAAAATGGTTTTAAAGTATTAAGGAGATATCCATTTGTATACTGAGCTCTTTGAAGGAAAACACAGATTGCAAATTTATCAAATAAGTGTAATTCTAGATTTTTCTTTTTATGTACTGAGCTTAAGTGGATATGAGATCTCATTCTTTTTAATATGGAAGTATTTGTGAATATTTCTAACTTTTGAAATAGTGAGATCTATAGAATTTTTTCCCCAGACCTAGGTAAGACCAAAATAGTTCATCCTTTTGCATCCACTTAGTGAATTAGAAATCTGATAATGAACTGTTTTTAAAAACTGAACATATAATGACTTACAATCTACCTGTAATATGCTCTCAAACTTTGAGTCAATTTAAATTTCATTATTCGTGTATTAAAACTCATATATTTTAACAAAATGATTTTATACCGCTATAAATAAAATAATGCCTAATAGGAATTCATTTTACTGTAGATAAAATTTATGTATGGTTGGGTTTCTTTCTGTCTCTCTCTCTCTCTCTCTCTCTCAATATAGGTGAACAGCCATATACCAGGAATAGGATACCAGATTTTTGGAAATGCAATCTCTCTAATCCTGGGTTTAACTCCATTTGTTTTCCGACTCTCCCAAGCTACAGACTTGGAACAACTCACAGCACACTCTGCTTCAGAACTTTATGTGATTGCATTTGGTTCTAATGAAGATGTCATAGTTCTTTCTATGGTTATAATAAGTTTCGTGGTTCGTGTGTCTCTTGTGTGGATTTTCTTTTTTTTGCTCTGTGTAGCAGAAAGAACTTACAAACAGGTGAGTATAATATAGAATTTTGAATAGAGAATATTTTATCCTTTTCATAATAGATAATTCCTGAAGTATTTTAGTATTTCATTAAATCATTTGACCCGCTAATTATTTTCCTGTTTTGTTTTTGTAGTACTTAAGCAAATACAATCCTATAACAAGCCATATTTTGTTGATTTTTGTTTTTCTGTGGTAATCTACTTGAAAATTAATCCTTATCCTAATCTGTTTTTAGCGATTACTTTTTGCAAAACTGTTTGGACATTTAACATCTGCAAGGAGGGCTCGAAAATCTGAGGTTCCTCATTTCCGGTTGAAGAAAGTACAGAATATAAAAATGTGGCTCTCTCTCCGGTCCTATCTTAAGGTAGAATGGTAGTGATAAAAGTACTCTTAACATGCTGCCTTCCTCTCAGAGTTTCTCTTTTTTCAATATGGGTGTATGTCTGAATGTGTAGTCACCTGTGTACGCAACATGCTGCTGCGTGGTCATACTTAGTGTTCTTTTCAATCCATATTCAGAAATTGAAAATAAATGTTTAACTGGTTCTTTAGATAAAACACCTGAGGCCTAAAAGGCTTACATACATTTTTATGTAGATCATTCAAGATCAAATTGTCATAGATTTATATTTTATTTATTTTTAATTTTTTAATTTTTTTAAATTTTAATTTTTAATTTTTTTTTAATCGAAGCATAGTTGACACACAGTGTTACATTAGTTTCAGGTGTACAACATAGTCATTCACCTCTGTGTGGTATGCTATGCTATGCTTACCGCTACGTGTAGCTACCGTCTGTCACCTTACAGCACTAATACAATACCATTGATTATATTCCCTAACCTGTGCCTTTTATTCCTGCGACTTACTCATTCCATAACTGGAAGCCTGTACCTCCTACTCCACTTTGCCCATTTTGCCTATCCGCTCACCCCCTTCCCTCTGGCAATCATCAGTTTGTTCTTTGTATTTATAGGTCTGATTCTGCTTTTTGTTTGTTTATTCATAGGTTTTGTTTTTTAGATTTGACAATAATGTTTTTTTCATAAATCTCACCAACTTCTACTCATTCAGAAGCTTAAAGATTTTATTCATACCTAGAATGGTTATCAGAAGCCAGCAGAGGGAGCCCACTGCTTAAAAAAGAATTTAAAAAACTAATCAGTGAGTATCCTCACTGAAGTGGCCTATTACTATTTAAAAATATTAGCTTGCAGTTCTAAGCCATTCTCTTCATGCTGTTCTTTTCCCTTAATCTTTTAAAATAACTTTCCTAATTATGGCAGTAAGATATAAAAACTCAGGAGGGAAATGGGGAACTTCTGAATTAAGTTTAGGAAAGCACTTCTTCTGAGGATTATTTCTTTGCTACGTTAAGATGCAGTGATTTTCATTATGCATGGAGTAATCAGGACTTAAATAAAGCTGGCCAAAAGATCAGAAACCCTCTGATATACCTAGATCTTTAATGCTTTTCATTTTGAAGTAACAATGAAAGAAGTGGAAAAAAGTTTGCACTATTTGTCTACCCTTCTATTTAAAAAATTCATTGTTCTGTTCATAGATTTAATTTGTTAGTCTCCATGGGGAAATGCTAAAAATTGGCATGGATTATTTTTACTCATTGTGACTTTTCTGTCATGTGGAGGGATGAATATGATCTTTGTTACGTGGCTTAGTGAGAAGCCATCTGTAATTCGTCCTCATTATCAATCTGTTATATAAGTAGATGTTGTATTCTTTTGTATATAGTTTGTTTCATTCAATAAACATGTATTTAAAGCTAACCACTTAACATCCACTACTGATGACATGCAAGGCCTTACCTTTTGGAGCTTAAAATTTAGCAAGGAAAATCTGTAGCCCCAGACCTAGGATTTATCCTTGGTATTTATTACTCCCCTCTCTTGCATTTCCAACATCCAACTCATCACCATTTTCCACCCTTTCTACTTCCAAAATATATCTTGGATCCATTTACTTCTTTGTTTCCATGTCTGCAACCTGAATGAAACCTTCAATCATCTGCTTTGGGCTACTATAGATGCCTGTTAACTGTCCTCCCTGCATTCAGGTTTCCTCCTTCCAATACATTCCTCAGTCTGCCACCAGAGGTCTTTTTAAAATGTAGATTTCATTATATGATTCTTTAAAAAATTTTTTTTCAATGTTTTTATTTATTTTTGAGACAGAGAGAGACAGAGCATGAGCAGGGGAGCGGCAGAGAGAGAGGGAGACACAGAATCTGAATCAGGCTCCAGGCTCTGAGCTGTCAGCACAGAGCTCAACGCGGGGCTTGAACTCACAGACTGTGAGATCATGACCTGAGCCGAAGTCGGATGCTTAACCGACTAAGCCACCCAGGTGCCCCTCATTATGTGATTCTTAAAACTTTCTGAGGGTTCTCCATTGCTCTTAAAGGACAAAATCTGAACAGGGCTTATCAATGCCCTTCGTGACCTAGCTCCTGAGGATATCCTGTCTCCCTTGTCTCATTTTGAAACACTTTCCTCTCTGCATTCCAGCCATACCAGACTGCTTCAGTTCTTTGAATGCAATATTATTTTTACTGTTTTGTGCTCTTGCACTTGTCCTTCCTTCTGCCAGGAACACTGCCATATGCTATATCATACCTGAGCACCCTATTCTGGTATAAACATCACAGTATCAGGAAGATCTTCCCAGGTTATCTTCCTAACTTGCCTGTAAGAGTTAGGAGTGTGAGCCTGGGAAAGATCTCCTTAAGGAAGTGGTACTTAAACCAAATTCTCTACCAGTTTTCTCCGAGCATCCTTTACCTTTCCTTTATAGCACTTATTACAACTGATCACCTATATCTGTGGCTATAAGCTTGATGTCTGACTTCCTGCTACTTCCTGTGAAGGTAGGGACTGTGTGTGTTTTGTTCTCTGCTGTATTTTCAGTGCCCAGCACAGCGCCTCATTCTGAGAAGGTGCTCAAGAAATATCTGTTGAATAAATGATTAGTGTTTGACAAAATATTTGGAATGAAAGGAAATGAAAAACGTGGAAGTTATGCTAAGAATTCTATGCTATGTATTCACCATGTTTACTGTATTGCAAATCCTCAGGAAATAGTAACACTTTGTAATTAAAATTCATCCAACAAATTAGGTATATTTTCAACATTGTAAGCTATGATCAACCTGCAGGGATGGATCAACACTTTAATTGAAAGCATGGAATTAGCTGCTAATTAGTAAATATATTTAAAAGCATTTTTCCTCTTTTTCCCCAGCGTCGAGGTCCTCAGCGATCAGTCGATGTTATAGTTTCATCTGCTTTCTTGTTGACTATATCAGTTGTATTTATCTGTTGTGCCCAGGTGAGTTGACTTGTTCTGTGTAGAAAGTAGATAATCATATCTATAATTATTGGGCTCCAGAAGGCTTTCTAATAATAAACAACCACAGTAGTAATATTATAAGGAAGCCTAGTTATACAAGTTTTGAAATTGACCTTTTGCAGTTTTTTTTTTCAGTAGAATAAATAAATGGGTCTTATTCATCTCTGTGTCATGAGCAGTGGCTAGCATAGTCTCAGATGTCTATTGATTGAATATATAGTAATTACTTTTTCTCAGTCACTTACCTGGTTATCTTTATTTCCCAAAACAAACTTATTAGTGGCTAGAATTGCAAAATTGTTTCAGACTGTTTTTCACAAATCTCTGCTTTATTCACACGTAGTATTCTTTCATTTTATATCTGAATCGTCACTGTGACATGACTGCCTCAGGCTCTGAGAAAGAACTCTCATTGTCCAAGACTAGTCAGGAAGCACAGAAGTATCTCAGGATATTCTGCGTTATAAAATTAAACTTCCATTTCAAGTACTGTGACATACTAGATTACCTGAAGATTCTTCTGCTTTAAAATACTGTATAGTCCAGAGGGTGGGTGGAAACTTAGCTGTTTAATATTCATATATAAGCTCTTCTATGTACATATTACATGCATATCTGAGTTTATAAGACAGTAAGGGGCCAAAAATGAAGATAAAGCTAAAAAAAAAGAGCAGTTAAGTATATGTGTTAATGCTGTGAGAGCGCTAGGATGAGGAGGTGAGGTACACTGTCAATCTTCGTATCCTAGAGACTTCAGATTTAGGCCCACAAGAGGACAGAAGATGAGGCCTCAGCCTGCATACACCCTTATACATGCTCCCCCCCGTAAACCAGACCCCTTACAGGACTACGGTCTCCATGAAAAGGTAGAATAAGAAAAACAGCCTGTCCACCAGCCCAGGAGGATAATAAGAAAGCTCATCTAACTCTGCCTGGACTCTGACTAGAATGGGGCGATAAGTCTCTGCCCTAAGAATATGTAACTGTAGGTCTGCCCTTATTAGAGGTTCAGGGTTTAAAATGTGCATTACAGATCTTGTCCTGTAATCTCCGTGTCAAGAAGTTAATATAAAAAGCGGTCCTAGGATATTTGGCAGAAGCAAAACCAAGATTGGTTCTTGGGGAATGTGACTTCAGCCTAGGCCTCAGGATGTCCACAGATGAAGAAGCCTCTTGAGGTTTCAAAACACTGAAGAAACCATCCATGTTGAGCCAGTCAGTGAACCAACAAGCAGGAGATTAGCTGCCTCAGATGATAAACTGATCAGATAAGAACTATAAGATAAAGACACAGATAACGCTATGAAAAAAGAACAGATTTGAAAAAGAACTGACAGCACTTCAGAGAAATGAAAAATTCAGTTATTGACATTAACAACACAATAAAAAATAGCAGATTGAAGACAGCTAAAAATAGTGAATGGGAGATGGAAGAAGTTACCCAAAATATAGGACAGAGATAAAGAGATGGAAATATGAAAAGGAGATTGAAACATGGGAGAGAGCCAACATATATCCATAGGAATTCCAGATGGGAAGGAGAAGGAGAGCAATATTTGGAGAGATAATGGCTAACAGTTTTTCTGTGTTGCTAAGACCTTAGCTTTGGATTTAGGAAGCACAACAAGAATAAGAAGGAGCAATAAATATAAATCTACACTCAAGACACATTGTGGAAGAACTACAGAACACCAAAACAGAGAGAAAAATCTTAAAAGCAACCAGGAGGAAAAGACTGATTTCTTTACTTACAGTTCCTTATTGCATGTTAGCCTTTTGTTCCAAGCTTAATTTCCATGTTCCTGAAGTACATCCTGTAGTAGTTCTGTCTCTTAGGAAGAGGCAGGCAAATACTAGCTATAAGAAAGCTGGTGAGTTCATATTAATATCAGATGAAATGACTGTAATCTAAGTTCAATGGGAGATAAAGGGAAGCGTGACAAAAATTAAAAGAATAATTCATCAAGGACTAATAATTCTCAGCTTGTATGCATGTAATCCAGTAACTTCAAAATATATGTACAGATAGCCAAAATCAATAACACCAAGAAGTTATTTTTAAAAACCTCATTGGAAGGTTTTTAACACATTTCTTTCAGTAATTGATAGATTAAACAGACAAAAAACAAACAAACAAAAAACAATGAAGATATGTACCTAAACAAGATAGTTTAAATTTTGTTCTAAAATTAGAGAATACATATTCTTTTCAAACACAAGGACAGTTTACAAACTGTCCTTCCTATGTACTTGGACACAAAGTAATTCTCAGCTGAAACAATGTAGACCACTTAATCTAACAGTAATGCAGTTACGGTAGAAAACAATGACAGCAGCAAAAAAACTCATACATTTGGAAATTTTAAAGCATATAAATAACAAATATTTAGAAAGCATAGTGTATTAAACTGTAAGCTACTGACACAGTTGAGAAATTGTTTAAAGAATGCTAGTATAAATTACTTTATATCATTAAAGTTGAAAACCTAGGTGGACAATTTGGTACAAATGCATAATGTACTAAATCTGACTCAAAAACTGAAAACCTGAGGAGACCTGTAACTACAAAGTAGTATTGATTCAATAGTTTAAAACTTTGCCACCAACAAAAATCCTCTAGACCCATGTGGTTTTACAGTTGAATTTTGCCAATTATTCAAATAAACAGTAATTCTAATCTTACACAAAACACCTCGAGAGTAGAAAAAAAGGGACTATTCCCCAACTCATTTTGTGTGACTAATAGAATCTTGATACCAATTGACTTGAGAGACAGTATAAAAATGGAAAACTGTGAGCTAATTTTCCTTATTAACTTCAATGCAAAATACTAGGAAGATGAAGCCAGCAACTTAATAACAATAAATATGCCATGACCAATATAGTTTATACCCGGAATGCAAAGATTTTCAACTCACAAATCTGGTTTGAGCTCCTGTAGTTGATTAAAAAGGGAGAAAACATATGATCATCTTAACAGATGCAGAAAACAAATTGGTGAATTTCAGTGGAGATTCATAATACAATGACTGGAAAGTACTATTCTTAATCTTAAAGTATATAAAAATTTAAAGCAGACATTGTACATACGATATTTATTACCTTAGGGGTATTTACTTTAAAATTGGGAGTAAGGCAGTTACCCTCTCTACCTTCTTGTTATGGGTTTTGATTACATTATTGATGTGTTTGAAATATTTCATAATAAATGTGGAATGTTTTTAAAATAAAAATACTATATTCGTGATCAATTTGTATGAAATAAAATGTTATTTCCTTTAAAAAAGAAATTGTTTGAATCACATTGCTGCTTCATGTTGCCTTTTTCGTACACTTTTAGTTGCTTCACGTGCATGAGATCTTCCTTGATTGTCACTACAATTGGGAACTAGTAATCTGGTGCATCTCGTTAACACTTTTTCTCCTAAGATTTGTTACCCTTGGATCAGAGACAAGTAAAAAATATAGCAATACCTCAATATTACTTACTGAACAGGTGAGAATGCATGTTTATTATAAGTTAATGCCTATAATCTACATATTAAACTAAAAATCTTTTCATTTACTTGAGGTTTTTTAGGAACCTGTTTTTAGATTGCATTTGTGTTACAAAGAAAAACTTGACATTTGATAGGACATGAGCCTTTCTTCAATGTTCCTGCCTTGATGCGGCTTTCAAGTCTGACCTGTTGTTTTACTGTTTCACTTTGATTTGACAAGAAGCAAGTACTATTTATAGAAGTGATGAACTTTAAACCATTAGTGGGATATGTTTGCTTGGCAGTCTAGCAGAGCCATATTTGAAGAAGTAGGAATTTTTTATTCAGTAGGAAGGATAAAGCATAAGAATTTTGATGGTTGACTTTGTTGTGTATTAATTTGTTTAATATTTTCCTTACCATTCCATAGGAATTACTCAAAGAAACTTACTGCCAGTGAAAATGTTTTGAGTAGTTTTGCCAGGGAAAGTATGATTTTTAAGAATCAGTAATCCTGTCACATGAGCTCAATTAAAGGGAAAGGGGAGAGCAGCAAACAAACCAATTGATCTACTTTAGTTAGATTTACTTACTCTTTTGTTTGTTTTGGCTCTAGGAGTAAAGTATTTCACCTATTAAATAATGAAATCGAGTTTTCCTTTCTTGTGTCAGCTTTAATCTGAAAAGTTTAAAATTTTATTATAAAATGTTTACTGTAAGAAATTTGGAATATACAGTAAAGTATGAAGGAGAATATTAATGTCATCTATAATCTCAATACCCGGAGAAGCACCATGAATGTTTTAGTGACTGTCTTTCAATTCCTTTTAAAAATGAGTATTTGCTGTAATTTTAAGTATTTTTAACTATTCATTCCTCGTTTTCATTCCTTTTTTTATAAAAGATAAACCTCTACTTGAAAATGGAGAAGAAACCTAACAAAAAAGAGGAACTGACACTAGTGAATAATGTTTTAAAGCTGGCTACTAAACTGCTAAAGGTAAAAATAAAACTGAAAATGGATATAATGTAGAATATGCTGTTCTGACATTTTATCTTAGTCTTTTGTTTGCAGATCCTATCTTATGTTTGGTTTTTATGATTATCCAAATTGTTTCCAAATTATATTTGAACACATTCGTGTCATGTACATTTTACTTATTGTAAAACTAACCAGTGTTATCCAAATCATATCATTTTGAAATTTTAATAACTTTTGAAAATTTAAGACTTTAATGTTTAAAGTATTTAGAGGTTGGTATCTTTGGAAATTTTGCCTCCTAGTACTTAAAATAGATTTCAAAAAGGGAGATTTGGTGTTAATTTGGAAATTTTCTCATTTTATATTTCTCAGAGCAGTCTTCTGCGTGGCCTGAGTTAGCTTAAAAATTAGTAATGCATAGTAATTATAATAAATATATATCACCAATAAACCTTTAAATTTTCAAATCATTTTTGGTGACAGAAAATATAATTTCAAAATATTTGATGTCATAATAACTCTTTGGAGGTAATTTGATAAAATATTTCTAGCATTGCTTTGCAGTATTAGTAATGTTTTTCTTTCTTAAAAGGAAAATGTTTTTTAAAATCTCAATTTCTGTAACAAATTGAATATAATGTTTTCAGAGAATGGTATAAAATTAGTAGTCTCTCAGTAGTACGTTTAATTCTTCAGTCAATTAAAAAGTCTTAATTAGGTACTGCCTCACAGTATATAATAGGCCTTGACAAGCAAGGTTCAGAAGAGAGGCGGGTGGGCTTGTCTGGTACATATGTGTTGAATATTTTCAGAGTGTAGGCACTATGCTAGACAGGATGAGACTTACAAGCAGCTTCAATCCCAGAGTAGAGGGAAATTTGAGAAAATACAGAGCACAACAATGTGATCCTTTTTGATCACACACAGTCATATACAAATCTTCTACTCAGAAACCTGGGAGTTAATATAGATTGTTTTTTCTCTGTCACTCTTCACTGCCAAGAAATTCTCAGGCCCATTGATTTAACCTCTCCAATATCCTCTAGTTCATCTCCGCTTCCCTATCAGTACTATCCTAGGTCAGGCCCTCATTGTCTCTCACTTGAGCTTTGATCCATTGAACAAAGCAGGCCTTCCTGCTTCTAGTCTCACTGTTTTCCAGCGCCTTTTCCACAGTGCTTCCCTACTGCCTGTGATCTTTCTCATGTGCACATCTGATACACTCTCCCTGATTAAATTCAGTCTGTTAGTACGATTTGTGTAAAGAATGACCCTTACCTAAGTAGCCCGTTTTACAGATTTGAAGGATTTCTTTCCTTGCAGTTGGCCCCTAACAATGCTGGGCAACCTGTAGCCATTCAAAGATGCCATGTTTTCATGTGTCTTATGGAATACCTCCTCCCACTAAGTTTTAGGAGCACCTTCCTCTAGGACCCACTGCCTTTTTAATAATAGCTCTTTTATGGGAGACTCACAATTAATTATTTATTTGTATGTCTATTCAACTGTAAGGTCTGTCAGCACAGGGACTAAATCCTGACTTCCTAGAGCTTAACACAGGGCCTGCCATATAACTTTGAATCTGAGAATAAATAAATCATAGAATTTTAAATCTTTGAATCAATTAATTCTTATATTTGAAAAGTAATTGTCTTAAAGGGAGTTTTATGTATGTATTAATAATAGCAGAAAATTTGGCTACTTTTCTAATTCTTGTGCAAAAAGGTATTATTCTCTTACATTTTTTGTTCTTACACTAGAAAATGTTTTCATACCTCTTGGTAATTATTAGACCAGTACTTTACTAGTCATTCATTTGAGACGGAAATTGCAGTTACGAATTTAGATCACAGAGTTCTTTTAATGGAAGTCACTTCTAAGAAAAGAAAAACCTGAAAGTATATATATATATATATATATATATACACACACACACGCACATATGTATATGTACATATGTGTGTGTGTATATATATATATATATATAGTTTAAGTTTAACCAAGTTTATCCTTTCTAAAACTATCCACAATTTGTAACTGTTTTATGAAAGTTTTTTTCAAAAATTCTCATTGTATATTGCCCTGAATTAGTTTAACTCTTGATTCTTAATGTATTTCTGGGCTCATGTTTTTTGTTTTTTGTTTTTTCTTTTGCTAGGAATTGGACAGTCCCTTTAGATTATATGGGCTTACAATGAATCCACTGCTTTATAACATCACCCAGGTTGTCATACTGTCCGCTGTTTCTGGCGTTATCAGTGACTTGCTTGGATTTAATTTAAAGGTAAGAGTTTCCAAGTTTTTGTGTTGTTTTTCTTTTTTGAGAGAGAGAGAGAGAGAGAGAGAGAGAGAGAGAGAGAGAGAATCTTAAGCAGGCTCCACATGCAGCATGGAGCCTGAGGTGGGGCTCGATCTCACAACTGTGAGATCATGACCTGAGCCACAATCAAGAGTCAGACACTCAACTGACTGAGTCACCCAGGTGCCCCTTCCAGGTATATTTTTATTTCTTAGTGCCCTGTGACACCTTGTGACATTTATTTTACCCCGTCCGTCTTTTGAGATCTCGAATGCACAGTGGTGAAATAATTTTCATAATATTGTGCACAAAGAATGAATAATTTTCTTGGTTTATAATGCTCATAGAACTCCTAATTTGGAACAGTATTCATACAAATAGGACTCTTGTATAGAATAAGGTATTCATTTTTTACTCATAATCTGAATCTAATTTAGGTGATAAAAAAGGAAAAGAAGAACCTTATTTCTTTTTTTGGCCAAAAGTTATTTATTATACAGCAATGCATATATCCCCCAGCATATGCACAACTCTTAGTGAGTAAGGTGTAGATTATTCATATTAAACAAGTGGTATATGTATATTGCTACTTCCCAATAAAAGAAAGCAAGGGAAATCTGATTTTTACTTTTTTATTTAAGGTGAATTATTCTTTTTTTTTTTTTTTTTTTTTTTTTTTTTTTTTTTTTTAATTTTCTTTTTTCAACGTTTATTTATTTTTGGGACAGAGAGAGACAGAGCATGAACAGGGGAGGGTCAGAGAGAGAGGGAGACACAGAATCGGAAACAGGCTCCAGGCTCTGAGCCATCAGCCCAGAGCCTGACACGGGGCTCGAACTCACGGACCGCGAGATCGTGACCTGGCTGAAGTCGGACGCTTAACCAACTGCGCCACCCAGGCGCCCCAAGGTGAATTATTCTTGAAAATGCAAGGATAAAAGAGTTTAAAATAGTAGAACCTATACTTGTTTATGAATGAAATTTAGATAATAGCATTATGTAATATAATTTATAAGTTACAGTATTAAAACTGACTCTAGGGGTGCCCAGATGGCTAAGTTGTTTGAGCGTCCAGCTTCTGCTCAGGTAATGATCTCGTGGTACATGAGTTGGAGCCCTGCATTGGGCTCGCTGCTGTTGCCGTGAAGCCTGCTTTAGATCCTCTGTCCCCCTCCCTCTCCTTGCCCTCTGCTCAAGCGCACACTCTCTCTCTGTCTCCAAAATAAATAAAAAACATTTAAAAACATTAAAAAAAAAACTGACTCTAATGGTTACTACTTCTATTATTTTTTCACTAGCTGTGGAAGATTAAATCATGACAATGCAGAGAAAAGAAGATGTAGCCTCTTTTCCAGAATAAGAGTACCAACTAAGCTGCCTGAAAGCAGTCACTGACTCTTTGCTTCAGGAGTCTCAGCTGGGAAATCGAAGTGTTTACATCAGACTGTCTTGTGCAATTCTTATATTTATTTTACTTGTTCACTGTTTTTTACATTTATTTTAGTCTTTATATTTTATTTTTAGCATTGATGTACTTAGTTGTCGAAAGGGTGATAAAACTGATATCCAGATACTTGAGATCCTGGTAATTGTTCATAAATAATTGACAAAATAACAAATCGTGAGAATAGAAGCCATTGCTAAGCCCCGTTTCTCCATCAATGCCGTGAACTTGCCTTACTTGAGGAAAACTTCTTTAACTTGGAATATTGCATTGGACTCAGCTAAACACATAAAGTGTGTTCTTTGGTGAATCAAGATCCAGTCAGGGTTTCTCTTGAATTATTTTGGAACAATGCCAGGATCTGAACTGATTAAGCTGCAGTTACACACCCTTCAGTATTAATATATATGGTATTACATAACAGGTCAACAAGTGCTCTTTGATGATAAAACTCTTAATAGAGCAATAATTGTAAATGGTTACCATACTGTAAGATATTTTGATAAAAATTAACTAGTAATAATTGTATTTATTTGAAACACTGGGCTGTTTGCACAGCTCCAACTGTGCATGCTCAAAATGTGCACTTTTTAAAATTGTTACTTTTAATGCGTATCTTTATATGGGGTATGTTATAGTGTACTAGGGCATGATATGGTATCCTTTTGAGTGAGGTATACACTCATCTCACAAGTGAAGTGCCTATTGATATTACTAAAGTACATTATTATGTTTACTCAAGTAAAATAATTTTCTCCCCATGGTACACTATAGTGTATACACACTCAAATGAACAACTTAAGAACAAGGTTAAGAACCAATAAAATATTCCTTTGATTGCTAGTTATAAAACTATATCCAAATTTTCAGAAAAGAGCTTCAGTTTGCAAATTCTATCCTCTAAACTTAACCTGGTGCATCCCCCTCACCTCCAATTTTATAAGGGCTATTTTAGATGCTTTTAACCTGGAAAGTTACCTACTCCCCCCACATACACATGCACACACAATTTGCCAAGTGTCCAAATGAAAACATATCATGTTGGCATGTTAGGTAGATAGGGCAAATATGGTGATATCTTACATTGGGCCTTGATTTTAAGTTGTTACATTTGTACAATCAAGAATATATTAGGAATTACATACAACATGAAATGTTTTTGCAATTTTTTTTTAACTGGGTATCTAGTTTCTAAAACAAAGAATTTATTTGAAACAGTATAGAATTTTCTTGGTGCAAGGTATATCATGTTGAATATCCTCACATTTTTTACCATGTTTTAGGGAATTTATTAAAATAATTAATTGTAAATGATTTATTTGATTGGTGCAGTTTTAATCCCCAAATCATAATCTTAAGATCAGGAATGTGTAGAGAACAGAGCCATGTCATAATATCACTTTGCTCTTACCATTCCTTTTGATCAGCCTCATTGTGTAGTATATTTTCTTTATGTAGAAAACAACAAAAGCAATTTGTTTTATTACCTATGTTCTCCTATGTTTAATAATGACCAAAGTGCATTCTGAGTTCTTTCAAGGAATGTATTACTGGAGCTTTAAGAACATACTTATTTTCTCATGTGGAAACTTAGGCTTTGTTTGATATGTTTCTTCTTCCTCTATTGTCTAATGTTGAGGTTGTTTTTAGGAATTATATTTTATAAACTTTTTCAGAATAAGGTACATACCTATACAGAACTTAACATTTTGCACAGAATATATCAAATATATTTTGAGAAAAAAAAGTACAGCATGAGTTCTGTTAGGAATAAAAGATGAAACTATTGTATCTCACAAAAAAAAAAAAACTTATTTCAGAATGGAAATATTTTTGAGAAAGGTAGCTGAGTATACTGATTTAGGAAAATGCTTGTTTTGGATTGAAGTTCATTTTAACTTAGAGTTGGGAGTTGATTTATTGAGTACAGTATACCTCTCAACAACCTATAAATACTATGAATTATGTCTCTAATGTGGGCAGCAATAGAATACCAAAAGGAAAAAGTTGTCATTTTAAGCAATTTCAAAATATTAATGGAATTGTTTTCAAAGCAGAAAAAATTGACATTTGCTGCCTTTAAGAATACCGTGAATGTAAGAAATTGAAAGAAATTGTAACATATCACATAATATAGAAAAGGCAGTTCAGAGATAGAATTGTGGCAGATGTTGTGTGTTAACTGTTGTTTCTTTGCCACATGTGTTGTAATTGAACGTTTGAACAGCAAGTTTAAAATAAAATATTCTATGCTGACAGTGTTAAACTGAAGGTTTTCTGTTGTTTTCTTTTCATTTTAAATTCATATACATTTCTATGGTAATGTTGTATTTACTATAGCATAAACTTTAGTTATCATGCTTAGATTTCAGACGAGTGGAAATAAATTTTTTAAAACTTCCCGACATTTAAGATTTTGTTATGATTCTCAACATGAAAGAATATGCAGGTCTTCCACCACCAAAATGCTATGATGTCATTAAATTTTTTTTTTTTTTTTTGCTTATTTGTTTGTATTTAAATACAGAAAACTGGCCATGGCCTGGGATATTAAAGCTCATTGTCAGAAGGATACTGGTATTTTTAATCAAACAGTTTGCCACATGAGTTCAGCATGAGAGATCATGGCCAAAAATAAGATGGGTAAGCATTCTAATATTTCTATTGATTGGTACAAGTGTTCATAGGACTTTAATTAATCAGGGACTTTTAATTCAATTGCACTTTCCAACTTACCTTAAGCTTGGAATTGGCTCTTTCAATGAGTCTCCCTTCAGAATGCAAAATAGAGCATATGACTGGCATGTCTTTGAATTGCCGTATCATTTAGAACACTGATTCTCAACCCTTTTTCTGCCAAGTCTGTACAAAGGATACCTCAAATGCTTATCAATAGCACTGGCTCCTCACAGAGCCTTCCTACTGGGGGTGAGACTGTGGATCTATGAGGCAGTATATTTTTTAAAAAGTGTTCCCCAAGTGACTTGGAAAATTTGTCCCACCTGTCACTCCTCACCACCTTGAGAATTACTACCTTATGATCAGGAATTTTGTAGAATGTAAATTCCATGAGATTTTAACTGCATTCACCACTGTATTCCTAGCACATAAAATGGTACCTGATACATAGAAAAATCTCAGTCTATTGAATGAATGAGTGAATGAATGAATGAATGAATGAATGAGTCACATAGGCCCTTAGACACCACCTAGTCCAACGTTCTTATCAGATAAAAAACCTGTCATCACAAAAGAGGTTAGGAAGCTTGCCCAAGGTTGCTATACTTTGTTAATGATAAAACCCACATTTTCTTTTATTCCCTTTGAAAGTATATTCTATAGAGACAAAGAAGATGGAAAAGTAGGAGGATCCTAGGCTTGTCTCATCCCATGAATACAATTAGATAACTGTCAAATCATCCGAAATACCCCAGAATTGACCTAAAGACTGGCAGAACAAATTCCATAACTAAAGGTCGAGAAGAGGCCACATTGAAGAAGGTAGGAAGTGCAGAGAAATGGATTTTGGATGTTGCAGAGGGGAGAGAGCCATAGTCACACAGAAGGGCGAGAGGGAGAGGAATGCACAGGGGAACACACAAGAAGAATGTTTCCCCATAGCCATTGGCTTGGAAAGTGAGAGGGGCTGAATTTTGTGAGTTCTTGCAACCAGTGGGGCTTAAGGCCTAAAGTTTTTTTTGTTTTTTTTTTTTTAATTTTTTTTTCAACGTTTTTTATTTATTATTTTTGGGACAGAGAGAGACAGAGCATGAACGGGGGAGGGGCAGAGAGAGAGGGAGACACAGAATCAGAAACAGGCTCCAGGCTCTGAGCCATCAGCCCAGAGCCCGACGCGGGGCTTGAACCCACAGACCGCGAGATCATGACCTGGCTGAAATCGGACGCTTAACCGACTGCGCCACCCAGGCACCCCAAGGCCTAAAGTTTTAAAGATGAGCAGGCTTGGCTGGGATAGACCCTGGAGAGCACTGTGCTGCTCCTAGAGAGAAGGCAAGCAAACAATACAGGGGTATATACAGTGTGGAAACTGACCTGAAGAACACCAGGAGCACATGGTGTGGAGACTATTTGGAGCATATCCCTGAGTGGCAGTGTTCACGGGGACACCTCTCCTGGAAGAAAAATTGGCCAGCACCATTTCTCCTCCCCTGCCCTTCAGCATAAACACAGAGTTAGCTGTGGGACGCAACACATTGTGGACACTGGCTGCCTAACTTGCTTATCCTAAGGCCCACCCCCTGTACTCTGGTGGAACTGCCATTCTCAGTCACATATACCTCAGTCCCAGTACAGCGGGCCCCTCCTTAAGAAGACCAACACAAACCCCTGCCTGCACATCTCCTGACCAGAGAGTTTTGCAGGGCCTCATTTACAGTGGAGGTGGTGACAGGTCTCATTTCACAAGCAGACCAGATCACACCTAGTTGAAGCTCACCACATTCAGGCCAGGGACCAAATAGTGCCCACAGCAAACAAGGAGAGCCTCAGCAGACAACTGGCCTGAAGGATAGAGCATCCAGAACACAACAGGAGAGAGCACATGGCACATACTGGAGACACTCCTAAAGTGCCAGGCCCTGGGCACTACATGACTTCTTCATAAGGCCATTACTTTCAGGAGTAGGAGACACAACTGGCTTTTCTAACATAGAGAAGCAGGTGGAAACTAGACAAAATGAGAAGACAGAGGAATTTATCCCAAGTGAAAGAACAAGATAAGGCCACGGCCAGAGATCTAAATGAAACAGATATAAGTAACATGCCCAATGGGGAATTTAAAGCAATGATAATAAGTATACTCACTGGACTTGAGAAAAGGATGGAAGGCATCAATAAGACCCTTACCACAGAGAT